TGTAAAGAATTATTATAGTATCACACTACGGTGCATTTGAGGGTACCTATCACCTAAACAGAGCATTTGATAAGCCAACTGAATACTAAATGTTCCTAATGTGGAACTATACACATACAGGAGGATCATTAAAGAAAGATATTAGTAAAGAATATCTGTAATAACTGTACATATACAGAAAGTGTTATATTATGGTACAGGCATGGTCACAAGTCAATGAGTACACAGAAGATAACAGAGCCCCCAGACCCACGCATTTCGCCGGTCAAGCAGCTCTTCAGAGGGTTTCGCCTTCACTAGAAAATTAGAAGCTTTGTGCATAGTGTGAAATTTGCACATGACAATATATCTATGTAATAAAGTAATAGAGGTCCAGGCACTCCTTGGTTCAAGACAGGTACTTTATTAGGAACCACAACAGCAACGTTTCGACCCCAAAAGGTCTTTGTCAAGCTGATACATACATCAATTTTACAATATATATAACAAACTTTAAACAATCACAATTATGAAATACACTTGTGAATCAGTATCCTAAGCAAGTAGTTTAACAGCTGAAAGTAGTATACTACTTAGCAGCAATACTCAATTATTTACATTACTTAGGAAGAGAGTCTAATAATTAATTTCCAAAAACAAACAAGCTTTGAAAGACTTATTAATTTGTTGATACAGAAAAAAGAAATGTATATATTATTTTTATATGGATACTGACATAACATCCAAGTGTATATAGAACATAAAATACACATATACACAACATAAATACAATATAAAGATAAGACCAGAGTATACGATTACAGAAATTTCCATTATCGATTAGAAATCCTTGATCAATATCACAGAGTATTAATATTAAGTATCCTTAATACATAAAGCACATCAAGTTCAAAGAGTTTTCATATATAGAAGAAAGTGTGTATAAAAAAATGCCCTAAGTAAGTTATTTCCATTATCGATTGGATCCTTGATCAAGATCACAAAGTATTGCTATTAAGTATCCTTAACACATCAAATTCACAGAATTGATATATATAGAAGAAAGTGTATATATAAAAATAACCTTAAATAGGCTATAACGACTCATTTGGATACTTATTGAAGAAGAGACCAGCCATCCTTAGGCGGGGATCATACCGCCCAGGCACTATAGAGTAGAGCTCTATTTTGTAAATATATACATATATGCATGTACATTAAAATATGTGTATTATATTTACATGTTTATATATTATAAGTATTACTAATATATGCCTAAAATGCAAAATTGTAGAAAATAAAAATCTGAATCACACAGCCAACACACACACATTGCACAGAACACATCACATACACATTACATACAGTCAACACAGACAGGTTACATACAGCCAATGCATACACACACACACACACACACACATTACATGCAGCGAGCAGACACTATAACAAAGGGAGAGATTAAATTCAGGGTAAATCACAAAATGTGGAATTTTTGCAAAATAACTCAAAATGACAAAACTGAAGCAAAAAATCCCTATTTTCTAACTATAGCAAAGATAGATAATATTTCCAGACTAGCAATTTTTGCCTTATTATTTTCAGTCAGGTTCGGTTTGTGAATATGAGTTTAGCCAATAGCACTGTCAACGTCCACAGCTCTAGGCAAGGAACCCCCAAACTTTGATATTATTTTGTGTTAGGACAAGAAGATTGTCCTGACGAACAAGTAGGTTGGGGTACCGCTTTAGTCCCTTGGACAAGTAGACTTTTAATTGCATGTTAATGCACATTGTTCTTGGTCAGGGATAGGCAACCCTCGGCACTCTAGATGTTTTGGACTACCTCCCATGATGCTTTGCCAGCATTATGGGTAAAAGAGCATTATGGGGGATGTAGTCCACAACATCTGGAGTGCCGAAGGTTGCCTATCCCTGATCAAGAACAATGTGCATTAACTGGGACTTATTTAGAACTTGAATAAGGTTTGCTCGGTCACAACCACAAAGCTTAGTTCCATCATAGTCACAGAAAGGGAAGAAATTTTCTTACAAACACAGGAGACGGAACATTTGTAAATGCAGCTTTGTCATATTCCATTGCACAAACATTTACATTAAAAGTGCTAATTCAACCATCATGGCTAGAATACTATAGGTTCACTGGTGGGAAATGTGGAACATTTTCAGACTTTTAAAAGGACATTGTTTCCATAGAGAGTGGACGGAGGAAGCCTTGTAGCAAGGAGACCATTCTTTATCATCCATCATCTGGGTTAAAGTCACTGAACACTCAGAACAAAGCAGGCAGAAGGCCATTAATCTTCACAAGTAGAGCGATGGCTATAAAAAAAAAAGAATCACGAAAAGTGTAATCTATCAATTTCCAGTATAGTGTTCATTATTAAGAAGTTCAAGGGCACAATTTCTTCCTTTCCTGGAAAATCGCTTCTGGCATAGGATTCCTAAAAAATAACAGGATTTATTGAGTTATAAATTGAATTTAAAAATGAGGCACCATATACCTGCTACGACAGCACCTGGGTAACAATACAGTGTCAGTATAAGACTGAGGACAATGTAGATTTTGATTGATGTTAGTCAGACCTGTTTGCATGCTAACGACAATGTAAACTGAAGATATAGCCAGAGACAGGACAGAATAAGTACAATCTAAACAAATTATGTAGACAACGTTTAGACCACACTGATTACTATATTCTAAATATAAGAAATAAGGAAGGGTCAGCGCAGGGCAAATTAGTTGAAAACTGAATAAACAGGCAAAGGTCAGTGCAGGCTACTTAGAATTTCAACTGAAGAAATAGGCAAAGGTCAGTGTAGGCTAATTAGAATTTCAACTGAAGAAATAGGCAAAGGTCAGTGCAGGCTACCTAGAATTTCAACTGAAGAAATAGGCAGAGGTCAGTTTAGGGTGATTACAATCAGACCATGGGTATGCAACCTTCCGCACTCCAGATGTTCTGGGTTACATCCCCCTTGATGCTTTGCCAGCATTAAGGCTGTGAGAGTATTATGGGAGATGTAGTCCACAATACCTGGGATGCCGAAGGTTTTCCGCCTCAATCTAGACTAAAGAAATAAGCAAAAGTAAGACCAAGTTGATTACAGTCTATGGGTGCATAAAGATCACTTAGTATATACCTACTGGAATAAAACTAAGATTGTATGTAAAATACAAAAAGATTTTATATTATGTATACATATATATAATATAATATAAAAAGTAACTTTTAAATAGAATAGAGATGAAGCTTGCATGTGATCTGTTACATATGATCTGTGTCTAACATTTAATCTCAATATTATTATTATTATTATTTTATTATTTATATAGTGCCAGCAAATGCCGTAGCGCTGTACAATGGGATCTTGTTTAAATGTAAGAGAACAGTTAAAAATGTGTCACTTATTAAACCCTAATAAAGTTTATTCCAGATTTGCCGTTATTGCGTTTGTGCAATTAAACTGCTCTTCCGCTTGACCCGGGTGGGATTAATGCAGACCACACAGCGCAGAGAAAAAAAATATACAGTTTTTAATAAAAAATCACATGTATGCTACATCATTGATATGAATGTGAATAGCACTGCTTAATAATTTAAATGGAATATAAAATACGAAACATGAATATTTCAACTTCAACTCCATATTTATTTAATAGACCGAACAAATTGCGAGAGCGTGGGACACTCATGGGAGGTTAAGCATGGAGTTTGGGAAATGTAAGCGGCATGTAGTATGTATTGCTTGGATTTTAATGTCATTCACGCATTTTTTTAAATTATTATTTTTGTGTAAATCTAATAATTATTGAGGTGCTTGAGCAAAATACAAGTTTAAAATTACGCATACAAGTGTCAAACAAATGTTATCATAATACAAGTGTGTATAAAGGAATAAGGCACCTCTTTTTTTTGTAGAATAATAATGTGTAACATCTCAATAGCAAGAAAAACATTCGCAACATATAGTATATAAGGTGAGAAGCAGTGGAAAAGCCTGCATTATATGAGAGAGCCATCTGCTCTTAAAACATCAGGATCAAGGCTGCTAAAGAGGCTCATGCAATCCTTTTCAATTAGTATTGAGGGTAAGTGCGATGTGTAGGTAATACAAAAGATAAAAGAAAGGAAAACATAAAGGTTCTCACAAGTTGTCTCAATAAAATATACTTATTTTAAAAAAGTCCACCATATGACGCAAATCCTCAGGATCTGCATTTTCTGGAGTGATGCTCATGTCAATCAGGAATGTCCGAGACGTCTCAACTAATCCTATCCTCTTATACAATGCCTACATTTTTACAAGAACTTTAAAGTACTTTTTTTATTTTTTTATTTATTTATTTTTTTGTGGTGCAGTAGAGGGTTACATAGAAACCCGAGGTACCCCAAAGGCAGTCCTCCGGTGTAGCTTCACTTTCGTTTGACATGCACAAAAATTTTGTATTTCATATATCATGCAATAAACGTTTACACATTTGTCGATTCGCAATGCCTCATTTTTACCTATAGCTAGAGTATAAGCAAGTTAGGCTATGGCATATGGTAGTTGAGTGTATTTTTGACATGCTAGGTTAAGTATACGTATAACTTCGAGTGTCATAGCTAAGTACTCTTTTGCTTATAGTAAAATATGCAGGTCTCATGTTAAACATAATAAGAGAAAATAAGAAAATAAGAAAATAGATAGGTTTTTTACTCGTGTTATAGACTAAAGCTTAAGGCATATTGGTAGTATGACCTATATGTGGGGGGGGGGATGCTGAGACATGGGACTCAAATCTTAAACAACTTAAACAACTTAGGGCCCTGTTTAATCAGGTTAGTCTAAAGGGACATTGCTTGGCTTACTTGTCTGACTTTGACCATTAGGGATAGCATACCAAAAGAAAATTAAACATGCTTGCGCTTAAATCAACAAGGTTGGTACAGAATAAGCAGGATAGATGGATGTGGTGATAAGGCAGCAGGCTAACCCCCAATGTGTTCCCTAAAGTCAGCCGACTCCCATAGTCGGTATGTTCTTGGTGCCTGCAAGTGAAGCATAGGTGGTGCTCAAAGGTAGTGTCCACAGGTCATAAGTGGTGCTCAGAGGCAATGTCCACAGGTCAGTATTGCTTCTCCTGACTGGGGTCTGTATGCGCGTGTGGTAGTGGGCTCGCCGTACCGTTCGGGTGTTCCGGCTGCGGCTCGATTTCCCCAGTCTCTGGCTCCGGGCCTTAGCGAGAGCCCTCACCTTGTGTCCATGGAGCCTTCCAGACACGGTGGTTGGCTCAGGGGCCCGCGGGTTCTCCCTATCCTGGGTGTCCCCACGGGTGTATGGACGGCATGGGGTAAGCCCCTGATGGGCTCCCAGCCCAGAAGGATGCCGGGTAGTCAGGGCGGCAGCTTTGTACGCCTTTTTGATGGGCGATGCTGGTTTGGTTTGTGGTTTGTGGTTTGGGTTTACAGACCTCTCTCCGGTTTTGTGCTGGTAGGCCCGAGTTGCTCTGTTTGGGTTGTGGCTCGGCGGCCATCTTGGTAGCGCCATGCGTGTTGCTTTTACGCCTCTCGCTTATTTGTGGTGAGGCTGTCGGTTTCATTTTAGCCTTCAGCTTGCGCCTGAAATTGTCGAAGAGTGCTTCCAGTCTTTGCTGGGTCCCATACTGTGGGTCTGTAGGTTCGTGAGGAAGTTTGGCGTCCGCCATGTTGGGTGCAGCGTCTTGTGGCATGCTTCCCCTGCGCTTTTCCCCACTGTTCCCGCTCCGTTCTCGATTTGTCTCTCAGGTGTGGACCGCGATCCCCCCCGACAGTCCAGGGAGAGTGGGGGGGAAACAGGGTTCCTGCTTGCGTTGTGTCAGCATCGGCCGCCTCTCCCACTCTATGGTCGCCAGGCCTCATGGCGCAAGTCGGTCTGCCAGCTGGTTTCAGAGTGATCACAGGCTGCATGGTCGGTTTAGTGCCCTTTAGTGGGTCAGATGAGACCATTTGGGTTTCCTTTTTTTAAAGCTTTTAGGGCTGAAAAGTCGTATTTTGCCCTATGTTCTGAGGAGCTCTGCTGTTCAGGCCCCGCCCCCAACTTTAAAGTACTTTAAAGTGTTCACATTACATTATTTAAAGGGACACTATGGTCACCAAAACAACTTTAACTTAATGAAGCCGTTTTAGTCTATAGATCATGCCTCTGAAGTTTTACTGTTCAATTCACTGCTATTTAGAAGTTAAACCAATTTTGTTTATGCAGCCCTGGCCACACCTCCTCTGGCTGTGACTGACACAGCCTGCATGAAAACAAATCAGTTTCATGTTCAGTCAGATGTAACTTACTTTAAAAGTTTGTATTTCCTGCTCATGTAAATTGAACTTTAATTACATACAGAAGGCTCATCCAGATTCTATGAAGCTATTAACAGTGCAGGAGATAAGATTTTCTACATAAAAAATGAATTTAAAATAAAGGTGTTAACATTAGATGACTCTTTACAGGAAGTGTTTAGGAAGGCTGTGCAAGTCACATGCAGGAAGGTGTGACTAGGGCTGCATAAACAAAGTGATTTAACTCTTAAATTACAATTAATTGAGCAGTGAGACTGCAGGGGCATAATCTATACACCAAAACAGCTTCATTAAGCTAAAATTGTTTTGGTGACTCTAATGTCCCTTTAAGAAAAAAAGTTATACAAAGAAGCTGGGGGGTCTTTGTGAGCAGCAGAATTCTACCTGCTAGACAAGATAAAATAGATGGGTTGCAGTACAATGTGAGTAAGTCTTAAAAGAAAAAAAAATCACATTCTGGTGACTGTAGTTTAATATTTGCCTAAATTATACATTGCTTTACTAAATTATTTTTTTATCTCTATTGAGAAACAAGCAATCATTTTGCCATATCTTTATGTAAAGTAATAGTTCCTTATTGGCTGCTACCCATAGATTCTAGAGCGTAACATTGTGTTCTTTCTCTCTCTTTGAAAAAAATATAACATAAAACAAATAGCAGCAATTGTACAAAATTACAATAATTTTCTAGCACTTAAAATTTTCATTCCGGAGAAATAAAATTCAAAAATTCAACATGTAATTTTGGCTACTTTCTATAATGTCTGAAACGGGAAGCTGAGAATGGTTTTGCGTGTTTCCTTGGGTGGAATGAATTACAGTTGTGGATGATTAAAATGACTGGGTTATTTTTTTTAGCCTTATATTGATACATTTTCACAGCTTGCGTATGGGAACATATTCTTGGCGTAGACATTAAACAGAGAGAAATGTCAGAATTGTAGGGCGGATATTAATGGATTAAAATGAGATGAAGCTTCCTGTTTAATAACAGCTAAGGGTCTGCTTGTCGTGACTTATCCGTCGTGGAAAGAGAATGATCTCAGCACGCGAGGCTGACGGCTGCTTTAAGGACCAGGCGGGCAATGGTTCTCAGGGAAATGGGATTTGGGAAATATTTATTCCCAAATGGATAGAAGTAATAAATTCCCTTAAAGGGACTTAATAAGTCAAAAAACATTCATTATGTGATTAGTTCAGCATGAGAGAAAGATGCAGAAAAAACATTAATAATAATTATCGAGGGTAGTGCAATTCATCAAATGGATAATGGGATAGATGATAGGTTATATTGTGCTAAAGTAAAATTACTTGTTGGTAAATAGCAGTTGAGAGTTCTCTTTTTTAAAGTGGCACTGTCACTATATTTATCTGCCCTCCCCTTCCCCCACCCCCCAGTCACTGGACCACCAAATTGCAAATTCCTATCATCTCCCCTGCTGGCCTAGACCCGAGGTCATCGCGGCCCACCAGGGCATTCGCCCTGTTTTCCCGATGGCCAGTCCAGGCCTGAGAATGAGCTTGTAAATTCCAGAGGAGAACCAAACTTTGTATCTAAGCTGCTTTGGTCCCAAAAAAGGAGTAAGCGTATAAGCATAACATTTTCATACCACTTGTCAGAATGGGGACTTTAAAGGGGGGAGGGGCGAGGCTATTAGTGTGAGGAGGTCTGAGTAAACCACAGAAACTATTCTAGAAGGGGCATATGATCCCCCTCCTAGTATAGAGGAGGGGCTGGGTAAGATGGTTTGCATGCTTAAAGGAGCACTATAACCACTACAGTGCTACTAGCTCCTGCTAGGAGCTCCCATTCTCAGGAAAGATGGGGAATGACAATTGGCACCCTCCCCCCAGGTAGGATATCAAATTATTCTAAAAACAGAAATGTTCAGGGCAATCCTGGCACCATAACCACTACATTGCACCACAGTTGGTATGGTGCTATTGGGTTCCTTTACATTTTTGCATTATTTCAATTTCAATAACTCCAATTCTGCCAATTAAGTAGTATTCACTTTTATAAATACAGGGCTACTCTGGATTGAAGTGGAATTCAGTTTATATATATGTATATGAATTTTATCCTCTGCATTGCTATGAATGATCGCTTCTTATTCTGAGCATGAAAAGGCCAGAGGTTAAACAAGTCCAAGATTTTAAACGAGGTAGAAAAATGTACAGACTGTCTGGGCAAATTGGTTGTTATCTGATGTCAAGTCCTGTATCTATATTACCTGCTCCTCAGCCATGACATTTGATCCATCTCCTTAGCGGCATACACAAGCCATAAACGTGGACTATTCTGGGCGCCTGACAATAAATCCGCCACAAAGACCAAAGGAACATGAAAGTGCGGTTTGGAATGTGACAAGACCCTGCTAAATTTACTGAAAACAGTGATTGTGTCAAATGGAAAAAAGATAATGAGAACTTCAGCTCCTGGGAGCTTGTGGTCAGCGCTAATTGTATTGTCGTGCCAGCTCACTGTCTGCATGGAGGGAGGATATATATCGTACATCAGGAGACATTATATGTAGGGGGTATATGGAGTAATAGGAAGAGTTATATAATAACTATTACAGTTATTTATATAGTGCCAACATATTCTGCAGCGCTGTGCAATAGGTAAAACAAGACAAACATTTCATTCTAACAAATTGTGTTTGGAAAAAGAAGGTGAAGAAGGTCCTGCACAAACAAGCTTTAAATAGAGTAATAGGAGGAGTTATAGGGAGCGTTATATGGAGTAATGGGAGGAGTTATATTGATGGCTATATGGAGTAATAGGAGGAGTTATAGGAAGAAGTTATATGGAGTAATAGGAGGAGTTATAGGGAGCGTTATATGGAGTAATAGGAGGAGTTATAGTGATGGCTATATGGAGTAATAGGAGGAGTTATAGGAAGAAGTTATATGGAGTAATAGGAGGAGTTATAGGGAGCGTTATATGGAGTAATAGGAGGAGTTATAGTGATGGCTATATGGAGTAATAGGAGGAGTTATAGGAAGAAGTTATATGGAGTAATAGGAGGAGTTATAGGGAGCGTTATATGGAGTAATAGGAGGAGTTATAGTGATGGCTATATGGAGTAATAGGAGGAGTTATAGGAAGAAGTTATATGGAGTAATAGGAGGAGTTATAGTGATGGCTATAGGGAGTAATAGGAAGAAGTTATAGGGAGAGTTTTATGGACCAATATGATGAGTTATAAGGAGGATTATATGGAGTAATAGGAGGAGTTATAGGGAGAGGCCTTATGGAGTAATATGAGGAGTTATAGGGAGAGGCCATATGGAGTAATAGGAGGAGTTATAGGGAGAGGTTATATGGAGTAATAGGAGGAGTTATAGAGAGAGGTCATATGGAGTAATAGGGGAGTTATAGAGAGAGGTTATATGGAGTAATGGGGGAGTTATAGGGAGAGGTTATGTGGAGTAATGGGGGAGTTATAGGGAGAGGTTATATGGAGTAATAGGAGGAGTTATAGAGAGAGGTTATATGGAGTAATGGGGGAGTTATAGGGAGAGGTTATGTGGAGTAATGGGGGAGTTATAGGGAGAGGTTATATGGAGTAATAGGAGGAGTTATAGAGAGAGGTTATATGGAGAGGTTATATGGAGTAATGGGGGAGTTATAGGGAGAGGTTATATGGAGTAATAGGAGGAGTTATAGAGAGAGGTTATATGGAGTAATGGGGGAGTTATAGGGAGAGGTTATGTGGAGTAATGGGGGAGTTATAGGGAGAGGTTATATGGAGTAATGGGGGAGTTATAGGGAGAGGTTATATGGAGTAATGGGGGAGTTATAGGGAGAGGTTATATGGAGTAATGGGGGAGTTATAGGGAGAGGTTATAGGTAGTAATAGAAGACGTTATAGGAAGGAGTTATAGGGACCAGTAGGAGGAGTTGTAGTGATGGTTATATTGAGTAATAGGAGGAGTTATCAGGAAGGGTTTATGACTGATATTAACATACTAAAATTTGACATGATGAGACCTGAAGTAATGTAAATTCACTGTGTACAAAGCTGAAATAAGGGCACTTAAAGGGCCATTCCACACCCCAAAAATACGTTAGCTTGCTAGTATAACCCCAATTTATTAAAGTGTTGATTTCTATGAGAAATTGGCACTTGTATTAATTATTTAGGGAACACCCCCCTGGCTGTCAATCAAACAGCCATGGAGCTTTGCAGCCTCCTTCCGTTAGCTCCC